CAAAACGAATGCATGACGACTCGACTTCTGCACACTTGGGCGCCCTGCGTAAGCCCCGCCGGTCTTTCTCACTAATACACTTCCGGGAACATTTCTGCAATAAAATACTGCATAAACGTTTATGGCTTAATACAATTTAGCACAAAATCATTAATTTTTAATTATTTCCTACTGAAATGACAAATAATTTTTATTTGGAGCACAAAAAAGTAAACAAATGCCGATATCAAAACGGCAAGCGCCTTACATGGTTGGGCGCTACGATTCATGAAGTTTTTATGATTAGGCGAAAACATGATTATGAATCGTAATATACAGAGCTTCATTGAAGTACATGTGTTCGGTATAAAAGCTTCATACTTTAGTACGCCGCAACGATTACACTACTACAACTAGGCGTTTAATGTGCGGAGTGCCTTAGGGAGTATTGTGGGCTTTAGGCTCCAAAAGTGTTAAATCAAGCTTATAAAGGTGTAGAAGGTTTAAACAATGAACCCAAGTCATGCCCACATCATTACTCTGATCTGGATGCTGGATAATGGCAACAAAATGGCAGATGATGTAACTGTAAATACTAGATAAACAAGTCCAACTACAGGTGGCAGGAGCTACAGGGTCTGTAAGAGTGTATGCCCTTCAATAAAAATGACAGGAAGAATATATCTAGACCAGCGATGGGCAGAGAGAGCTTTTACTCTCCTCACGCCTATACAAAATGTATAGAAAGCTTAAGTGAGCTTTGCCCATGAGTGACCTAGACCAACCGCCGTTAGTGCTGGGCAACGCCGCTCGGTCAAGTTACCATAGTTCGATTAGAGTCACATACTTTCTAGAGCAGATCTTCCTCAAGACCGAAGAACAAGTCACTTCCTACCTGTGAAGCTACCAAAATTTAGTAGGCAAATTTAAAATGAGCTGTTTGGACAAAAATTGCTTTTATTAGTTACTTAAAGGAATTAGGGTGTTTAATTGGATTTCTAGCACTGCTTTTTGAACTGCAAATGGCTTCTTATAAAAAGCCTCGTAATGACAGAAAATTAGATTTCGTCGGCTACCGAGCGGTGATTGAAAAAATATTTTTTTTTAAGTTTGGTCAAGTCAGGAGCTGAAACTGGGTCCTGGCGAGTCAAAGTACGCATTCTAACTACTCGTCCACGCCATCTTATAAAGTGAACAATTATATTTATTAGAGTAACAGAGAAGTTTTTTTTTATTTCGTTGGGTATTTTGAGTTTATATATGGTGCGCCTCCAAAGGACGAAGGACGATTTTCGAATGTCTACTACCTTTTGTGTCATTTGAATAGTGCCTTTTCAGGGTTTATCACATTTTCTTCTTCTTTCGTAGTTATATGAATACTTTTATCACTTTTTCTACAAACCAAATATTTAGTCAATTACACGAATACCTACATCAACAGCTCTTTACCACATAACACAATTTCATGGTCTTAGTTATACGAAGCTTGAAAAAAAAAA